AAAAACTGAGTGTTATTGCAGATGAGTGTTCCATTGATGTAACTAAGAGGGACAAATTCAACAGTACTGTGAGGGAACCTTTCCTGACTGAATTGATAGACAACATTGAAACTAGGTATGTAAAAATTATCATAAAATATCAATTGTTAGGAATTCATATTTTCATGTTATCCTTTATACTAGCAATTATCTTTTTTCTTTGTAGGTTTGTAGACACAGATGCCATGAACAACCTTGCACTTTTAGACACATCCATGTTGGAAGAAGTACCAGAAACATATGCTGTTTCTGAAATAATGGAGCTGTCATCACATTTTGCAATAGATGATGACATTCTACTGAATGAATGGACATCATTTTGTGAACTTATAGGGGACAAGAGCAGTCATGATAGAACAATCATGGCTTGCCTTAAGTTTTTATCAAACAGTAATTTAGGGTTAATTACACTTTACCCTAACATGATTCACCTACTCAGCACAGCTGCTGTGTTGCCTTTGAGCACAGCAGAGGTAGAGAGAGTATTCTCACAAGTTAAACTCGTTAAGTGTGACCACAGAAATAGGATGAAGCAGGATACATTACAAAACATTTTACATGTTAAACTTAATTGTGACAAGCAATGTTTTAATAAATTGTGTGACAAGGTGCTTGACAATTTCTTCAGTACTAAAGATAGAAAGATAAAGTTCTATCAAGGCTAATGTCATTGTGATTGTGATTGTGATTGTATATATATGTTGCCTATGATCAAAGGAATAAAACAATGTTTGATTTACATCTTTATTAAAACATGCCTTTTTCAAATTATCTTTCACGCGTTAAACGTGCCCTTTTCAGGATTGGCACCCTGCCCTTTTGAAATCCTAGCTGGAACACTGAAAAGAGATGATGTCATTTTTCAGATTGTAAATTTTCCATTTATATGCAGCAACATTCCAGCAGCTTGCATATTGGGAATGTGTAACACTCAAACCTGTCAATCTCCCAAAACCTATCCACTTGCCAAAATATGTTCACTTACAAAGCCAAATGTGGCAGAACTTTTAGTGGTAAAATTAGCCTCCGTGACGCCAGTAACATTGTCTGCCCTCTGAAAATGCTGCAACATACACTACAGTATTGTCTGTTCAATTTATATAATATTAAATAACAGTTGAATTTTTACTTCCTATCCTAGTAATTATTTGTAAATTCTGGAAAAATAGCTTAATAATGGATTTTTCAACCTTGGAATAAGGAAAACCTCAAACATGCTTCAATATATCTGAAATCTTGGAATTGGACACCTACAATACTAATGAAAAAAAGTATAACAAAAATACCAAAATCCAAGGCAATATCAAAAAGGGGAAGTCCATAAAAACTGACAAAATCATACGCTATAAATCAATGAAACAAGTGAAAAACAACTGCCAAATTACTGACTTGGTACAGGCATTTTCTTATCATGTCTGCCATATTTGTTTTTCGTAAATTATTTTGTTATTAACTAGGCCATTAGTTTTCTCAATTGAATTGTTTTATATTTTTCATGTCGGGGCCTTATATAGCGGCCTAAAAGGGTATGGTTTTTTCTCATTGTTGAAGGCCGTACAGTTGCCTTTAATTGCTTAATCCACTTCATTTGAACTTTGTTTGATAGTTGTCTCATTGGTAATCATACCACATTTCTTTATTTTTATATAAACCTGGTTTTATAGCTAGCTAAACCTCCCACTTGTATAACAGCTGTTTATAGTTAATGTGACAATGATTTGGATCCAGCAGCCAAAACTGTGTAAACAACATTACAGACATACAACACAACTAAAAAATTCAAACAAACATACAAATTAATTTATCAAGGATGCCAGCAAAAAAGGTGTAGTAGATGGTAAATTTTAATTTTGACAATGATGTCAACAAAAAAGTTTTTATTGTTGATAGTACATACCTTATATGTATATATGCTTATATGCTATGTGTTTCTTTATTCTACATTGGCTAGAGGTATAGGGGGAGGGTTGAGATCTCACAAAACATGTTTAACCCCGCCGCATTTTTGCGCCTGTCCCAAGTCAGGAGCCTCTGGCCTTTGTTAGTCTTGTATGTTTTTTAAGTTTAGTTCATTTGTATGTTTTGGAGTTTAGTGTGACATCCATTTTCACTGAACTAGTACACAATTTTATTTAGGGGCCAGCTGAGGACCACCTCCGGGTGCGGGATTTTCTCTCGCTGCGTTGAAGACCCATTGGTGGCCTTCAGCTGTTGTCTGCTCTTTGGTCGGGTTGTTGTCTCTTTGACATATTCCCCATTTCCATTCTCAATTTTATAAAGTCTTTCTGGTGAAACATTTGACTGTTCCACAAATTCTATCATGAATAAGATCAGAAGAGTGTACTAGGAAAGTAGTGGTAAAATTTTTATTCTAAAAATGAATAATTAAAATTCAATTATCTTTTATTTGTTTTCTATAACTATTAGCATTTACTTTTCCTTAGTGCTGGTTCCGCATGCACGATTAGAATGATACATTTTTTCTCATTGGTTCATTGAATTTTACATATTACATGGCTTGTCCAGTTCAATTGGTCCTACTGGTAATTTCTACTCAGTAAAGTTTTTCTTTCAAATCACTATATTCGTATGGTCATTATTCTAATCAGTTTTCTCTGAACAGGTCATAATTTTTATTAAGTTGACGCATCGATCGACTTAAATTTATAATTCTTGAAATTAAAAGATTGAAGAGTAATTGTGATTCAAATAGACAAGGGCTCAAGACATGGCACACTGTACACTTCATGATATTACTGAATTTCAGATTAAAAAAAGAGTGGCATACTTGTCATAAAAACTGAGACCTCCAAATTTCATTCAATTGCTGATCAGTGCTAAAATACTTCACTTGTAGTTGGCAATTATGCATGCTTATGAGGAGATTTTCAACTTGATGATAAACTTGTTCCCATTCTTTTTGGACATTACATTCAATTATTCCAACTCTACTTCCCAAATGACATTGTCTTTAACTTGGTATACCTCACTTAAAAAAACAGAAGAAAGTGACTTTTGTTGTTTAAACTAGACTACAACCTTGATCAGCTTTAATGAAAAATCTAAAATTTAAGTAGATATGGAAATTATAAAATTTATTGACAAATAAAAATCCCTTGTAAGGTACGTTTTTTTAATTGATGATTTTATATATTTTGGATATTTTTTTTTTCAAACTATGAACATGACAATGGAATCATCTTTTATAGATGTTGACTTTTTTGGGCATTTTCAAAAATGGACATGATTTTGAGTTAGCCGAACATTTTTTAGACACATGTTCAAGCATTCAGTGTCATCAAATGGACATTGAAACATTTGCTTAGTTTACATGTTAATATGTTTAGGTTATTGTAAAGGGAACAACTTATCATAAGTCAATGGTATTTGGTATGCAGTTTTATAAACATTGGCATTTCTTATTTCATTTTGGATTATTTGGTCCTGTTCCATAAATCATGGTTCATTGACTTTGAATGTTTTGTATAGTTCACATATTTATATATTGTCATTTGGATTCAATATTTGCATTATAGTATCAAAATTACAAAAAGGTGAGATATATCTCTGTGGCAACAGTTTATATTATATTTATATGAAAAATCAATGAGTGTTTTTAAAAAAAGAATTAGACTGGTACATTTAGTAAAAAAGAGAGACATATTGGAGAATGTACTTTATTGCACATTTGCTGTACTTATGTAGTGTCCCGTCTTCAGCATTCTCCGGTAATCCCTGTTAGTTAGTCACTAAATTACCTAGAAAATTTGTCATTTAGTAAAAACAACAATGTTTGTGTAACAATAATTCAACAAAAAAATATTTTTATATGTTTATTATGAATGAATATTTATTTTGTTTGTGATATAATAGTTGTGATACTTCTCATAAAGCATTTATGAAAAACAACTTCTTTTCAAAATTTATCTGTCCCATGTAATATACTTTGTGCCATTATTCCATCTAAGGAGCAGTAGCACAAGCTTGGATTAAGGTAATCCTTAGTGTCTCGCCTGTGAGGAAAGTATGCTAGATATAGGGATTGCAATCCAGCGGCATCAGCGACAACGTAAACTAATTGTATAAAGCTTTAAATTTCAGAAGCCAGAAGACCTGGATGCTTCATACCTTGTATGCAGATACCTTATGTTACAAAGTTTCTCCCTGTCATATGTCCATTGTCCTTGACCTCATTTTGATGTTACAGTGATTGCTTGAAAAAAATTGCTGTTTTTTTGAAAAATGAAATACTATCCTATTATGAGTAATAGGGTAGCTATACTTGGTATATGTGTTCCTTTCTAGGTCTACATGTCCGTCAGTTAGGGTTCACCTGACCTCGACCTCATTTCATGGATCAGTGATCCAGGTTAAAGTTACCTGGTCAAGTCCGTTTCTCAGATACTATAAGCAATAGGTCCACTATATTATGGTCTATGTAATGATCGTATGGTGTACATGTCTAACTGGCAGATTTTATCTGACCTTGACCTCAATCTCATGGTGCATTGGACAATGTTTAGTTTTTGTGGTTTGGTCTATTTCTCAGATACTATAATCAATAGGTCAAGTATATTTGGTGCAAGGAATAATTCTAAGGTGTACATTTATGTCTGGCAGGTTTTATTTGACCTTGACCTCTTTTTCATGGTTCATTGATCAATGTTAGGTTTTGTGGTTATATCAGTTTATCTGTTACTATATTTGGTGTATGAAATGATTGTCAGGTGTACATGTCTGACAGGGTTCATATTACCTTAACCTTATTTTCATGGTTCATTGGTCAATGTTAAGATTTTGTGGTTTTATCTGTTTCTCAGGTAATATAAGCGATAGGACCATTATATTTGGTGTAATAATAATAGATAATGATAGAATGTTTAAGCATCTTATACTTGTCAAATAACCTCCACATATTTAGTATTGGCTTTTATTAATGATAGTTATCTATTTTATTACAGAATTTGTACATGAATGTGTAAAGAAAATATTGTCCTTATATGAATCCAATAAGCCTACTTCAGTTGTATTGGTTGGTCACTCCATGGTAAGTTTCCATATACAGAACATATTCATCATATTCTACATAATAAGCAAGTCTTTGTTCAACCTCACATATTCAGGATACTGGATTATCATTATTCTATAATTTGTAGATTTTCCCATTTTGCTGTCAGTGTTAATTTATCAATGTAATACACATGTGAAACAGTTATTTTTTTTTAGCAAATTCGTTTAAAGAGGAGGTAAGATAAGAGCCACTTACTGTTTGTCAATTGTTTGAAATGGTACAACACGATGTACATGGAAAATTTTCATCAAAGTTTTCTTGGCTTCAATGATTTTAGGGAATAATCAGTTATACTTCAATATGCATGCTACTTCAATCAACTACATGTGGCAACACAGGTCCAGACACAGTATTGAATTTATTTGATACTGACATCGTTATTTCCCGAAATTAAAATTCCTTTTTAGCTCACCTGGCCAACATCACTTGGCGTTTGTCATCGTCCGTCATCCATAAACATTTACAAAGATCATTTCCTCTGAAACTACTGAACCTAATTTAACCAATCTTGACCACAATCATCATTGGGGTATCTAGTTTAAAAAAATGTGTTCGATGACCCTGACTGCCAACCAAGATGGCCGACATGGCAAAAAATAGGACATAGAGGTAGAATATAAGTTTTGTTTATTATATTGAAAACCACTATAAATAGAGAAAATCTGACAGGGGCAAAAATGTTCAGTATGTTGAGCTCTACCTATTGTCTATTTACGTCAAAACTGTCTGACGACTTCATGGATATGCTGAATCTAACTGTGTATTTAGATTTTGGATATTGGACCATCATAATAGGTAAAATCCAATTTCAAAATTTTTCAGTTCTTTGACAACATTCATTCTGTGACAGAAACCTGTGCTGTGTCAAATATTTTAATATCAATCCAAATTCAGATCAAATTCAGATCTATGTTAAGCTTGAATGTAGTGTCCATTCTTGCCACAACTATTCAGGGTTCGACCTCTGCAGTCATATCTAGCTGCGCCTTAGAGCATTTTATAATTCTTCAGAGAATTATGTATTGATGGGAGACTTTTGCTTCTTCTTTGTTAAACTTTTTCACTAATTTTTTGGGTGCAAGATTATTTAGAAATTGACCTTTTGTATAAAGATTAAATTTGTCTGTGATTGTATGTTGACTTCTAGATCTGTTTTTTTTTGTGTTGTTGAGTTTGTGTCTCATTCACATGTACCTCACAACTCCTTTTATTATTATGTATCATAGAGTGGTTGTATTGGACACAAATTAAGGCTAAGAAATAAGAATGTTTGCTTGCAATGATACAATGTGCTTGTATTGGAACTCTGAAGAGGTAACGTCACAACAGCAGTGATATCGTATACGTAAAGAGTGGTAGGGCGAACATCACATACTAGTATGTGCAATCCAGAACATTCTTGGGGTACGCAAATGAATTAAATAACAATATAATGAAAATAAATTAAGAAAGTTTCACTTTGAATTACTTTCTCTGATAAATATAAAATTCACTTTGAATAACTGTGTTTATTAATAGAAATTTTAAATATCTTTAACTGTCTCTCATAATGCACAGGAATAAAGTAAAAATGATTTTTGAGTCTATAATAAGGCACAATTTAACTAAAAAAACATTTAACAGTCTGTCTTTGCTCTTCTTGCAGGTAATATTTCATCACACAGTCCTGTGTCTTTATTAGATGTCAGTTCTAGAGCATATAATAGTTGCGGTTCCTTCTTATCTTTTATTTACCATTTCTTTTTTCCACTTTGCAATCTCTTTGTTCACAAGTAAAAGAGAGGTGAGCGATACCAAAAGTACATTCAAACTCATCAGTCAAAAATAAAATGACAACGCCATGGCTTAAAAAGAAAAAGACCAACAGATAAACAAAAGTACACAAAACACAACATAGGAAACTAAAGACTGAGCAACATAAACCCCAAAAACTGGGGGTGATCTCGGGTGCTCCTGAAAGGTAAGCAGATCCTGCACCACATGTGGCACCCGTTGTGTTGCTCATGTTAGTACAAACCTGGTAATAAGTCTAATTTAGTATGTCATATTGGGGAAAGGGGAACAGGTTTGTAGTTACGACAATTGGAACATATCCGCTATTATCCGTGAAATGGATATTCCATAATGGTCAACCAACTCGTGATTGCATAAAAATTTACGAAGGGATGACTTATTCTTCATCACTTGGAACTCTTGGTTTAATAGCTTCCTTTTGAGCAGCAACCATGATAGGAATTACAAGCCCTAGAATATCGTATCAACTTTGAGATATATTCTCCGTATGCAGGCACTGCTGGAATGTTGCCACATAGAAATGGAAAGTTCACAACTGGGAAGCTGAAATCATCCCTTTTGTGGTAAAGTTTTGTTTGCAACCAACCCTCATTGTCAGTTTCTAGATTGAAGTCTAGATATGAGGCAGACTTTACTGTATCTGTTGTATCCTTGATCTCAAGTTCCATGGGATAGATGCATTCAACATAGTCAACAAATTGTGAGTTATTTATTGACAGAACATCATCTACATAGCAGAAAGTGTAGTTAAAGGATACTGCTAACTTCTTTTCTTTCTTCCTAAGAAGTTCCTGTATCACAGTATGAAGTCAGCCTTATATGAATAAAGGAACAAGTCAGCAAGAAGAGGAGCACAGTTAGTTCCCATGGGAAAGCCGATTGTTGAAAAACATGCCCTCCAAACGTAACAAATATGTTGTCAATCAAAAAATCAAGCATCTTAATAATGTCAGTTTCAGAGAATTTTTTGTTTGAATCAGAGTGTTTTTTACAAAGTACCATTTATCCCACCCTATTAAGACAAGATACTTGTATTTACGTTGGCATTTCTTTTTTTATGAAACAAAGCAGGACCAAGTCTTTCAATTTGTCTTTTAGTGTAGAAAGTCAAATGTTTTAATACTATTGCAAGATGAAAGAGTCTTAGATTTTATGTTCTCTAAAAGATCTTTGGAATAATTTAATATCCACATCTGATTCACGCCAACTCTAGGTAGTTTTACTTTGAAGCCTGGCTTTGTTTACCATGAAATTCATGTTAATTAGTTTCCAAGTGAATTGTCAGTACTTAATTCATTTATCAGGCAGCTTATGTTATGTGATTTACACAAAAAAACGATGTTGTTTGGGGCTTTATCTGGGGAGATACCATATTTGTCATGGAGATAGGACAGGTGTTTTGCAACATTAGAGTCTTTAAAGATTGATGTAGGCATGGGTTTTCATAGACCCATTCAGTTTTTATACGACCTCAAAAAAGTTTTGCGGTCGTATATTGGTATAACGTTGGCGTCGTCGCCGTCATCGACGTCATTGTCGTCGTCGTCTGAAGACACATTGGTTTTCACACAATAACTTTAGTTTAGGTGAATGGATCCCTATGAAATTTTATCAAAAGGTTCAATACCACAAAAGGAAGGTTGGGATTGATTTTGGGGGTTATGGTACCAACAGTTCAGGAATTAGGGGCCAAAAATAAGCATTTTTCCCCCAAGTTTCCATACCACAAAGGGATGGTTAGGATTTGCTTTGGGGGTTTTGGCTCAAACCGTTTAGGAATTAGGGGCAAAAAAGGGGGAAAAACAAGGGTGTCCTGGTTAATGGACAAATACTTTAGTACAAAACATAATTTTTAAGCAGTGTAAGGGAGGTAATTCAAATACATCAGTTGAATTACCTCCCTTACACTGCTTTTAAATTATGTAAAAAGTAATGGTTAATGAACAATTAAGACAATTTAAAAGCAGTGTAAGGGAGGTAATCCAAATACAACGTTTTGATTGCCTCCCTTACACTGCTTTTAAATTATGTTTAAAGAAATGCATATTTATAAAGGAAGACCAGTAAAAATATCTGCAAATGTTGCATCTTTTTTTTTTTTTACAAAAAAATCCATATGAAAGATTTGACACCATATTTTAAATTCTATTATAAAATAGATTAATTTAGCACTATGGTAAATTTAAATGGGTAATTAAGGTTGCAAACTCCATTGGAAATTGAGATTATGACCATATCTTGAGGGAAAGAATTTTTTTAGGGGAAAAAGAAATTGTGGGGGGTCAATTTTTTCTCATTCCAGATTTCAGAAATTAAAAAGAAAAATTCTTCAAATATTATTTTTTTTTGCAAAAAAAAGTGTGTGTGGTGTGTGTGTGTGTGTGGGGGGGGGGGGGAGGGGGGGGGGGGGGGTAATACGCAACAGCATAGTGTATTGCACAAAAGCAAAAAAAAAAGGGGGGTAAATTTTTTATATTTTTTTTTGTGGGGGGGGGGGGGTCAATTCGCAACAGCAAAGTGTATTGCACAAAAGCAAAAAATTTAATATAAATTCAAATCATATAACCAATTCTAAGTTCTTTGACTACAGTTATTCTGTGTCAGAAACCTTTTATGTGTCAAATATTTAATTACAATCCAAATTCAGACCTGTATCAAGCACGAATATTGCGTCCATTTTTGCCCCAACTGTTCAGGGTTGGACCTCTGCGGTCGTATCCAGCTGCGCTCGGCGAAGCAATTTATTTAATGCTGATTTGTATCAACAACCTCACAGCTTTAATCCATTCGGAAAGAGTATCTACTTCTTCTTTCTCGCGTTTAACCCAGTGACTGGCATAATCTTGACTGAATCCATCAGTATTTTGAAGTTGTGTTTCCAATTGATGGTTTCAGACTCACGATATTTCAGGCCTTTGGATAGCACATTTTGCAGAGAAGAGTTATTGACAATGTTTAGGTCACCAGTAATAACGTGGCTAGCCAGATTATATATGAATGGGGAACTAGCACAGGTGCAATCAGGAGGTTTAGACTTGAAGTCGTCAATATTAAGATCCTGCAACAAGTGTTTGTAATTGAAAATTTTAGTTGCAATTGGTTTGGTATAAGTATAAGAAATGATAGGAACAGACTGATCTTTAAAATAGGGAGGTATTTTCGAGTGAACTGATTTATGATGAAGGATATTGTCCATTGAAGTTGATGGCATTGAGACCTTTGTTGGCAAAGGAAAGTTTTAGTAAAGCTCTTTTCTCCTTTTCATCTTTTCCAATGCGAACTGGTTTGAAAAGTCTGTGACTTACAATATCTGAGATGATAGCTGTAAGTTTATATTGGTTTGAATGGGAGTTTGTAACAGAGGTTTTCAAACTTAGGTTGTACAGAGAAAGAAGTTTTGAAAGGGGTAATGAATAAAGCTTCGTGCGACTGTGATGAATACCTAACGGATTTTGTAAATGAATGGCAACAGGTAATTAATAGAGACGTCATGGAGAGAAGGTGATGTATGATGACAATGACCATGACTGCGGCTAGGTCGAGGAGAAGAGTTAAAAATGTTCACCACATTTACCGAGCTACAGGAAGGATTAGATAGAATACCTATACCATCAATTTTGTCATTGCCATATGGTGTAGCAGTTCCCATTGTTGAATCCAGTAGTCTTGTTTTTGTCTATGGAGATGTGTTGCAAGATTAGGATTATTAGTCCTGTGGTATATTTTTATGATGGGAACATGCATAGAAAGGATTGAATGAGCAGACTGGTTAAAATACTGGTAAAGGTGGGTGATCTTCTTTCTGGGGTGAAGTGGAGAAATATCTGTTGTCATGGTAACTTATGTATATATTCATGTCTTCTGATATAAATCCTGAAATTCTTTGTTTCCTGTTGTCATCTCGTCAATTTGTCCAATGCCAAGTGATTATATCTTTCATAAACTTCTCCAGGTCAGATTCTTCTGTCTTTTATGATATCATTACATTCATCATAGATGTTTGCTGGTTTTTGTAGCTTGATCTACTGTGAAGTGGTTCTGATGGTAAATAATCAATTTTAGATTTCATGGCAGTAGGTCCTTTACCTCTGATGTTATGGTTTTATATGATTGACCAATAGTAGAAGGCTTCAACGAGTATTGATACATGGAAAATGTCGTTCGTAGTAACTGGATAAACGAGTTTTATTCCGGATAAATACGGTAATTTTGCTGCTTTATGGGCGTAAATTACAATTAATACTCTGATTGGTAATTGTTCTTCCTCTATAAGCAAATAAATAATAGCAGTTTTCAAGTGTCTAGTTCTTGTACCGTACTTACTGCACTGTCCCCAAACCCAGATAAATTTAAACTTTCTGTGCCAGTTATTGATAACTGCAATTTAGCGGCTAGGTCTTCTGTGATAAACAACCTCTGTGCTCCTTCATCAAAAAGAATGTTGGCATTTAAACATCGGTGTCCCGAACTAACAGGATTGATTGCAGTTTTGAGTAAAACATTTGTGGTTGCTTGTGAGTGTAAAATGTGTCCGATTCCTTCGTGTTATGGTACTTATGTTCACACTATCTTGTTTATCTATTTGTGCATTCTCCTTACATAAACTTGTGTGGTGACGCTTGTGACATTTTTTGCATGTTTTGTGTGTCTTACAATCAACCAAATTATGATGTCCTAAACAGTTGAAACATAAGCAGTCACTATTAACATCAGATTTTTATATTTAACTACTTTGGTACAATATTCCAAGGCATGGGACTCGTGGCAATAAATGCACTGTTTACAATTGAAGCTAGTGTTTTGGTGAACCTTATTTGGGTGTTTGTGACTTGATTGTTGGTTTTGTGGTTTTGTGTTTGTCAAAAATGCTGCAGTAGCTGTGGGATTTTCAAGACTGTCTATTGAGTTACTAGCTTCCATGATATTTAATTCATTAAATATGATGCCTTTTCTTAAGTCGGCCAAGCCTATGTTAGTAGATCCAAATTCTCTTGCAAGGTTTTTTCGTTCCCCTGGTAGTTTGTTCAATATAATCTAGATCTGTACTTACAGCACTCAGTATGAATCATTAGTTTGTCCTATGATTCTAAACCTCTTATATAGAAATAAGAAGATGTGTTATGAGTGTCAATGAGACAACTCTCCATCCAAGTCATAATGTGTAAAAAGTAAACAATTATAGATCAAAGTATGTATATTTCAATGTTATCATAAAATGTCGGAGGCTGAAAAGTGTGTATCTAGGCGACTGAATAACAAACTTTCTGCATGTGTATTTAATGATGTAGTTTTTACCAAGATAAGTTTGTTGACTTGACGAATTTTACCTTCTAAGTTAAAAGCATAATCATCTGCCTCAATGATCTCCATTTCGATATCTCCGTCATCCAGTCCCTGTACTATGTCCTCATCTAATTTGCAAAATAGTTCCTGCTACTGTTTTAGACTTTCAAGTATGTTTGACAAATCCTCCATTTCCGTGGTTCCATTTTCCTCCAATTGAATGTCTTCAAATTTCTTTATCAGCTGGGAAACTCAGTTTTATGACCTGCTCTGCTGGAATTTAATGCAACTTCAGATTCATCCAAGGGGCCTCAGTGGCCAAGTGGTCTAAGTAGTTCTACTACTGTAATCACTAGCCAGTCAACACTAAGGTTGTGAGTTCGAACCCCGCTCGTGCTCCAATCTTAATTGACTAGGATTGTCAGTTTTCCTATTGAATGTCTGTGGTTTTCTTCGGGCACTCCGCCTTCCTCCACCAATAAAGACTGACCGCCACGAAATAGCCCAAATGTGGCGCTTAAAAGTGGCGTTAAAACACCAACAATCAATCAATCAATCAGATTCATCCTGGTCATGGCACCAATATCCTAGAGTGGGCTATAGAACACAAATTAAGGCTAAGAAATAAAAACGTCTGCTTTCAATGACAATTGTATTGGAACTCTGATCTAGGTAACGTCACAACAGAGGTGATGTCGTATACATAAAGAGTGTAGCGTGAACATCTCATACTAGTATGTGCAATCCGGAACAATATGAGATGTGAAAACATGTTTGCCAAGTATTTATGATCATGAATATTTTAATACATATTTCAGGGTGGAATGATTGCCAGGGCATTGTTTACTTTACCAGAGTTTGACCAGAATTCTGTCAACACTATAATAACACAGGCTACACCTCACCAAGCCCCAGGTTAGTTACTTCCTCCATAATATCATGCATATAACAAGAAAGAAAAATTCACAAAATAATTCTCTGGAGTTATTGCCTTTTATGTGGCAAGTCAGCATCCTTTGAAAAGATAAGTATGTAAAGATTTGGCTTAAGAGATTAAAAGATTAGTAACCACCTTTTGTTTTGTGGTAGCATGCTCCAAAGAGTGTGGAAGGTTGTGGGTTTTGATCTCCTGAGAGATCAAACCAAAGATGTGAAAAAAAGGTAGTTGATGCTTTTCTGCTTAGCACTTTGCATTAAGGAGAAAGTGTGTATACTGGTCAGCTCAGAGTCTGAATAATGTGTCTAGGTAGGGTGATATGTCTTCCTGTGGACTGTTACATGTTAAAAATACAGCTTAAAGCAGAATTCATATTCATATGTCATTTTTAAACATGTTCTCATCCTGAATTTGCATTTCACTTGCCACTGTACCCTATCATCATTCTAAATACTTTCTGATAAATTTAGGCAAATGATTTCATAGATAACCAATAAATATATCATGGCTATATAAATTCACTTATTTGTCAAGTGCTCCACATGCTCTGATTGTTTATCAATGTCACGGTCCAGTAAACTTCGGCAACAGTTTTGATCACTGAATGATATATTATTTATTATAATGACAAGAAAATTGTTTTATTAATAAACAATCAACACAGAGCAAGTGAAGCACTTGACAATTAAGTGAATTAATATAGTCATGATTTTTTTCTGAATTACGCACTTTGGACTTTCATGAAAATAGCAATTATACAGACTTTTTTTCTGAACGCCTTCTGATATTGAGCTGAATTTTAGTATGTGTGTCCACTGTGATGAGTTACAGATCGAGTTTACGTTTGGTTCTGCTCAGATGATTTTTGCCGAAATAACAGGCTTTGGACATTTTCTGAAAATAACAGTTATACAGACTTTTTTTCTAAATACATGTACCTTTACATATTGAGCTGATTTTTAGTATGTGAGTCTACTATGATAAGTTGCAGATTGAGTTTACGTTTGGTTCTGCTCCGCTGATTTTTGCTGAATTAACAGGCTTTGAAAATTTCGTGAAAATAACAGTTATACGGATTTTCATTCTCAAATTTCCACTCCTAAAAATAGCTTCAAGGTTTTTTTGTGAGTGGGGCTATTCGTGTTGTTCTGACACATTTAGTTTTTTTTTATATTTTTCATGCATTCCTATTTGTTTATTAAACTTTTCCTTAACAGTTGTTAAATGATTGGTTGTATTATATTTGTTCTTTTAAGAATCAGTTATTCCAAAGATCTTTTAGAGTTCATACAATCTAAAAAAAGTGAAAACAACACGATATAAATTTCATGAGTCGTAGCTCTTTTCTGGATTTACCTTCATCAGGAATGCTCAAAGCCGAAAACTTGAAAGCCAAGGATGTATAAGGACCGAAAACGTTGAAGAGCTATAAACCAAAAAGGATCTAAAAAAAAGCCAAATCCATCTAAGGCCGAACTTTGTCTGAGGGAGTTGAAACCTTAGTTTCTGTATAATTTCAAAATTTATAAACGGGCAATTTTAGATAAATTGATATAAATCATGTCAGTAAAGAAGTACTGACTAGCGAGCTGATGATACCCTCAGGGACTGATAAGACTCTTTCACCTTTCAATAGTATTAAAACATTTGACTTTACTACACTTTACACAAGTATTCTCCATTCCAAACTAAAAGACAAATTGAAAGAGTTGGTCCTGCTTTGTTTCATAGAAAAGAATGGCCAACTTAGATACAAGTATCTTGTTATAGGGAGGGATAAATCGTACTTTGTAAAAAAATCCCTCTGATTCAAACAAAAAACTCTCTGAAACTGACATTATCAAGATGATTAATATCTTGGTGGACAACATATTTGTTATGTTTGGAGGACGTGTTTTTCAAAAAACAATGGGTATTTCCATGGGAACCAACTGTGCCCCTCTTCTTGCCAACTTTGTTCTTTATTCACATGAGGCTGACTTCTTACAAGAACTCTTAAGAAGAAAGAAAAGAAGTTAGCAATATTCTTTAACTTCCCTTTCTGCTATACAGATGATGTTCTATCACTAAATAATTCAAAATTTAGTCACTATGTTGAACACATCTATCCCATCAAACTTGAGATAAAGGATACAACAGATACAGCTAAGTCTGCCTCATATCTTGACTTACATCTAAAAATTGACAATGAGGGTCGGTTGAAAATAAACTTTACGACAGAAGAGATGATTTCAGCTTCCCAATTGTGAACTTCCATTTCTATGTAGCAACATTCCCAGCAGCTCCTGCATACAGAGTATATATGTCCTTGTTGATAAGATATTCAAGGGCTTGTATTTCCTATCATGATATCCTCGATAGAGAATTGCTGCTCACAAGGAAGCTATTAAATTAAGAGTTCCAATTGGTGAAGTAGAAATTGTCCCTTCGTAAATTTTACAGACGCCATCACCAGTTGGTTGACCTTTATGGAATATCTGTTTCACAGATGACAACGGACATGTTCCAATTGTAGCAACTACAATCTGTCTCCTTTTCCCTGAATGTGACCTACCGAATTAGACTTATCACTGGGGTTGTACCAGGGCTTCCAAAATTTTGTTGAGCCAGCCAGACATTTCATATCTTATCCTGATTTTAAATCCCTTTAGACTTAGTAAATTAGGCAACTATGATAATCAGTTGGCCATCATATATGATATAACCAATGATTGACATTAAAACGGTGTTAAACTTTACTTTGATATAAATTCGATGTTCTGACGTAAAGTGTTAAATTAAAAGTGCAGCATTCGAAGTGTGCAACATCAGCGTACTAATTCCGCTTTAGACTCTTTATTTGTGCAAAAATAACGCTGTCAAAAGCTTTACTTTTGTTTTTAAAATCACATTTTCCTAATGCCGGATGTTGACTTGACAATGGTAAATCACAGATCAGAGACGGATACGTAATATCTGTGTAAGTTTACGATTGAGTTAAGTAGCCTTTTCAAGTTATTTCTTCAAGAAAATACTCGAAATGAACGGTAGATAAAGGAATCAATGATAATTTTAGCATTATTGAAGAATTAGGATGCATAATTAAATTTCCCACCAGCGGACAATAGACACATGCGTACGCGTGTACTAGTTCAAACAACGTGGTTCTGACGATTATTCGTTTAAAACCTTTTCAAATTTTTCATCAAATCATATTTATTAACGTATTTCTTATAATTTCAATCTTTTAGACTAAATTAATTAGATGTAACCCGCTGAAATGTAAGAAAATAACTTTGAATACCCTTTAGCGTACCCCAGTATTTAACACGATGTACAGTGTTTTTAAATATAATAATGAATATCATACATATTCGAATTCATTTATAAATATTCTTATTTGAAGAATTATTTTAAAATCTAAGGAAATTTTTTAAAAACTGAATGGTCATTCACAATAATATCTACAAAGCGTAATTAAATAGGATGTTGTTCCATACACGATTACATGTTTGACCTCGTTTACCTGATCACCTTCATGTTCATTGTTATGCATCATCAATTCTATTGATTAAGACAAGCTAAGGTCTCTCATCAAAGATAATGACCTGTAATCAGTGAACGATTTATGGCTTCAATATTACTTATTGAAGGGATAATTGTTTGACAGCTTGTTGTTTTTTAAATAAAAGAACAATTTTTTTTTTCTACTTTTTATTGATGTACCAAGCCGTGCATTTGTGTACCCAGAGGATTAGACTAACTGAGACACTCCAAAGTATGAAATATGCTGCATCTGTTTAATTAAACCCAAATATGACCGAAATATCTTTGTGAAATAGATTGCCACAATTATAGACTATAATGCCCAAACGGACATTTTTACCGATCGATAGTTGGTAAAAAAAAGTGAAATGACCGTTTTATGAAAATGCCTTGAATAACAAAAAGTGGCAAACCTATGATATTTGACCGTTTGAGGCTGAGAGCAGCAGGACTTTTTATATAAATTTCGGTCAAGTCCGGAATATATGACCGTTTTGGAAGCCATGGTTTGTACTAACATGAGCATCACAACGTGTGCCACAAGGGAGCAGGATCTGCTTACGTGAGATCATCCCCTGTTTTTGGTGGGGTTAGTTTTCTATGTTTTATTTTGTGTACTGTTGTTTGTCTGTTGGTCTTTTTTTTAGGCATGGTGCTGTTGGTTTATTTTTGACTTTTGAGTTTGAATGTCCCTTTGGTATCTTTCACCTCTTTCTAATTACTTTTTGCCTTCCAGTGCACGTGTGTTTACAATCTTTCATCACGGTTTTCACCTCACACTTGCACTGTGAGGTAGCCGAAGTTCTAATGAGAGGTCTCATAGTTAAGGTCACTGCATATGGGAAAATATCGACCAATTAGTGTATGAGAAGACAATAATTCAATAGCAGTACATTTATGAAGATTTTGATCATATAAAGGTTTTTTGATTACGAGAAAGTTCACATACACTTGTTTTATAGTAAAACTTAGCCATTGAAGTATATAAAATATATTCAACTTTTTTTTTAAATTTGAAGTTTCGTATGACCTTAAATCTTTAAATATTGTTCTTATTGGTACTAACATTGATTAGTTTATGTAAGTCTTTACACTAAATCTGTTGAATGTGTTCTGATTGATACTTTAGTAATTGGTTTTGAACTAGCTTTCAGTAACTGTGAGTACTCTTATTTTGGGGCTTTGTGTCTATTGTTTTTATGTTAATGGAATTCGTGACTCATACCGATCTTAGGAGTTAAGTCAACTGCAACTGATTTTTATAGTTTGTTTTTATGTTGTGTATATATACATGTTAATATATGTGTGGAATTTAAAAGACCTAAAAATATAAAAACCAATGAAATGAAGTGATTTTTTCAAACCACAAAAAATTGAATTGGTGAATAACAAGATGTTTCTTACAAGAATACACCTTGAAGTTTATATAATTATGATTTTTCATATATTTTTTCAGTGATCTCCCTTGACAGAATGATTGCCACATACTACAGCAGAGTAAACAATTATTGGAGGACACACAGTAATACTACATTGAAGCATGTGACTGTGGTATCCACAGGAGGCGGTTATAGAGATGTTCTGGTCAGAAATGAATTAACATCTCTTAGAGGAGTATGAATTACTATAATTTATTTAACACCAAAACAAATCTGTTCTATTTATTAATGGTTCCACAGTATTAGAATACAGCAAAAAAAAAAATGTTTGAAAAATCCAGGCTGTTTCAGTTTAAAAACAACAGTTCTAATATAAGATATGATAGGTCAATCTCATTTGAGTAATAGTTTGTTGGAGGGTCTTGAAACATTCATATTTGCAGTATTTTATGGCATTTGGACAATGTACTGACATAAATAGTGAGAACTCTGATGTTCTTTTATTATAAAGATTGGTAATTTTAGCCAGGTTGCATGAAGTGCAATACCATTTTATAGTATGGTGATGTCAGGTTGTTTTAAGGGGAAGGGTACCTATTTTGTGTAAACAACTCCTTGTGCACTGTTTAAAGATTTTTTCCCTATATTTAAATGTCCATTATAAACCATTCTCCATTGTTTAAGAATTGTTCTTCTGAACCCATCCATTTGAGTCTGATCCATTTCTCTTCCTACAAAATTCAGCTGAGATCCCTCAAACATCCCAGTGTTCTCCCCAGAAATTTTGGATAGCATCACATTTGGCGTAAAAAAATAAACTATTTTTTCAATGTCATTTGTCGCATCGCGGTGATGCTCTATTTCCTTTAAGTTATGTTTATATTGTACAATTCATAACTGAGAATACAATTAAAGTATAACAGTTGTTTCAGTTTATGTCTTCTAAGTTCTATATTCATTTATAGTTACAGAATTATATTTTTTCTCTTGTCAGAAACTACCAACTAAATACTTAGTACAAAAAAGAACTTTTTTTTATATCAAAAAGGAAAAGAAAGTATTATATAGCAATAAAATTTTAATTAAAAAACTATTCTGTTTATCATTTTTGTCTCACCTTGACGGAGTCAAAAAGCGAGACATAAGTATGCTGTTTCCGGCGTCGGCGGCGACTGCGGCGGCGTCAACAATGTATTAGTTTGTGATTAGGTCTAGTTCATGGTGAACCACTAGTGGTAGGTCAATGATATTTGGTATGCAGTTGTATTAGCATTGGCACATCTCATTACCATGAAGATTATTTGGCCCCGCCCCCTCAGTCAAGGTCTATTGACTTTGAAACTTTGCTTAGTTTACATGTATTAGTTTGTGATTAGGTCAGTTTATGGGGAACCACTAGTGGTAGGTCAATGATATTTGGTATGCAGTTGTATTAATATTGGCACATCTCATTACCATGGAGTTTATTTAGACCTGCCCCTCAGTCAAGGTCTATTGACTTTGAAACTTTGCTTAGTTTACATGTATTTGTTTGTGATTATGTCAGTTTATGGGGAACCACTAGTGGTAGTGGTAGGTCAATGATATTTGGTATGCAGTTGTATAAACATTGGCATATCTCATTTCCATGGAGATTATTTGGCCCTGCCCCCTCATTCATGGTCTATTGACTTTGAAACTTTTGCTTAGTTTTCATGTATTAGTTTGTGATTAGGTCAGTTTAAGGGGAACTGTTAGTGGTAGGTCAATGATAATTGGTATGCAGTTGTATAAGCATTAGCACATCTCATTTCCATGGAGAATATTTGGTCCTTATCCCTCAGTCATGGTCTATTGACTTTGAAACTTTTGCTTAGTTTACATGTATTGGTTTGTGATTAGGTCAGTTCAAGATGAACCACTAATGTTAAGTCAATGATATTCGGTATGCAAATGTATTGGCATTTGCAAGTTTCATTTCCATAGAAATTATATAACCCCACCACCTGATTATGGTTCATTGACTTTGAAACTTTTACATAGTTTATAAGTTAATGTTTGTGTTTAGGTTTGTTTAAAGGGAACGACTTATGAAAAGTCAATGGTATTTGGTTTGCAGTTGTATTAGCATTGGCACATCTCATTTCCATGGAGATTGTTTAGCCCTGTACCTTCAGTCATGGTTCATTGACTTTGAATATCTGCATAACTTACATGTTAAAGTATTGCTATTTTAATTTCAACATTTGCATTATCAAAATAACAAATAGGCGAGACATATCTCTGTGTTAACAGTTTATTATGAAATTCATTGTTTCCTGGGACTCAATGTATTAGTCCCAGTTGTTTCTTATCAAAATGATATATTTTTTAATAAAGTTAAGCTACTTTAATCAGTATATTGAAACAATGCATGTACAAAATGAATACATTTAGCAAGGAGATCTAACAAATAGTTTGTTAATGCGTGTGGAATGCGCAGTTTTCTCTTTTGGGATCATTATTATTTTGTCAGCTGTGCCATTTGTGCGTCTGTAGTTATTATCGTACAAATACGGATTTTTGTCATAGCTGGTCCGCTTCCGATGAATCCCGCATCTGATCCATAGTTTGTACAAATATTACAATGGCGGTTGAAGAAAAATTAACGAAAATAAACAGTGTTCGACAAGCGATTAGGAATGAATATGACGCTTTTAATGCAATAAATGGATGAAACATTTTAAATACTCATTCTCTGTAACCACTTAAACTTTTTCGGCACACATAGTCACCGATCTTTCTGAAAATTGGCTGATATGTATATCCTATTAGCCAAGTCAGAAAAATAATGCCAACCGATATATATATTGGTTGGTTACCATGGTAACAGCGGAGAAAGTTGGGAATTTTGAGAAAAATACAATATTTGGTGTAGTGTTGTGAAATTATGCGGCTACATCTATTAAAAAGAAACACAAAAACAATTAATTTCAGCCTTGTTTTTATCAAAAATCAAAAAAAATTATGGGGAATCTACCTAGAAACATCTGAAATTAATTTCTAAAAATTGGTCATTGTGCAATATTCCTAACAATACGAATTATCTCCCTTTGAAGGGTTACACTAATGACTGGACCAAAACGAAAATGCTAATAACTTTTTTATTTCTTAAAAATTTTGTCAAATTTGAATTGCTATAAATTTAGTCCATTTAATACATAAATATAAGAAAAAATATAGAAAACTTTTAAATCTTCATAAAACGTGACCTGACCAACGCTGACAATGACAGGACCAAATGAAAATGCTAATTTCTTTTTTGTTTCTTAAAGGATTTATGTTAAATTTGAAATATAATAAAATTTGATCATTTAATATATAACTATATGAAAAAATATAGAAAAAAATATTAAAAAAATCTGAAAAGTTTCGAAAACGTGACCCTTCTAACGTTGACAATGACCTGACCAACAACAGCAATGACCTAACCGATGAAAATTTCTGTGTTATTTTATTTCATTAAAAAAAAAGGGGAAAATATATGTTTTTGGGTAAAAAAAACTAGACCTGACCAACGTTGACTGTGTCCTGATTGTTGTACTACCTAATACTTATTTATATCTAATAGGATTTGCTTAAAATTTATATAAAAAAAAACATTAAGATTGAATGGTAAAGTCTTTATCAAATAATAAAAAAACCCGGGAAAAACAGTTTAGGGTACTGTGACGGGCACCAGGTTATTTAAACTTTTTATGGTATTGAGTAGTATATTGTATTTTACTGTGTTGTAAATTATGTTGTATATTACCGGTTATAATTTGACACGTTTGATCACAAATATGAAGTAACACACAAAAGGTGTGAAGTAGGCCAAAAATACATGTAAGTTGATAAATCCAATATAATTGTTTTTTAATATTTTCATAACAGTAAATAATTATTTCCACGTACAACTTAAGGCATGCCCGAGCCTTGTGTAGGATATCTTGGTAGTTTTAAATATTTTCATAAAAAAAATAAACATTTCACGGACTACTTGAGGTATGCCCGAGCCCCTGCATGCAGGATATCTTGGTAGTTTAAAATATTTTAATAAAATATAAATAAACATATTCAACGACTTAACTTGAGGTATGCCAAAGGTTCTCGAAAGTCAATACATTTATAGTTTGCTTATATGTTTGAAAAGCATTTTATATTTTCTTATATTTTGATAAAATTAATGGTTCAATCTAAGTGTTTCTATAAATTTGATGCAAAGCCTATTACATTTAAATAGGTATAAAGTCATTTTTCCTTGGTCATGATAACGGTCAGAATATAGGACAGAAAGTCACAGACAAAAAGTCAAGGACAAAAAGTCACATGTATTATATGTTATAAACATTGAGTCCTGTTTCAAAGTAAAATCTAATTTTTTTTTTTGTTAAAAGAAAGACAATATACTAATTTTGAGAAACATCTTTCTGTAATGGGCTTTCACTAAGTTTCAGCATGTTCAGTGAAAATCAAATTATATGTACATGTATATAATTCTTTTAAAGTTACCCATCACGGTAAAGAGTTATCATAATTTATGGTCAATATTTTTTAATTTGCTGCTAAAAATCAAAGTTAATTGTTATTTTCTCAAATTTCAATAATCCAATGCCTAATACTAATGTTAAGATAGTGCTACCATAGGCGGATCCAGGGGCCCTGAGGGCCCATCCCCTCCTTATTTATTGGAAATATTTGGTTGATTACATATGGAATCACTGAAGCATAAATGCAGCAGGCCATCACTTTAGGCAGTCAGTGGGACCCCTTATATAAAATTGTCCAGATGGTATACTTCCCCCTACTGCTCGTTTTAAGACCCGCAGCCACGATCTGACAGATTTTCCGCGGGTCCTCGTAGGGAAACGAATCTTTTTGGAAAATCTCGAAAATTCTTCCCCGGCCAGAACGGCAAACAAGAAATGTGTCGGATGGATAGCAGGGACCATCGGGTCAACGGCCGACAGTAACCCACCCTTGTTGGTTACGCCCTTTGTTTGCCAAAGAACCTTTGTGTTAATTCTTTAAGGGGCACACAAGTTGACCTATTGAAATTTCTGTCCTTGTCCAATTGATCCCGATTTCCAGTGATATTTCAAATTGTCCGCCTTCATCCCAGCCTACCCATATTGCTGGATCTTTTTGAAATTGTCTATTTTTTTCAACTTCACCTCAAAAATGATCTTCATGTAGATACTCATCATCCAATAATACAATAATATTCAAAACGTA